AACGCCACGACTACAACACACCCAAATTTCAGACGACTTCGTTTTTATCCTAATTAAACGTCAACACCCATTCGGTTACACATTCACATCTCACGTTTTACTAAGTCCCACTTACGGTCGCCAACATCGCTCATTTGTTTCCTCCCCTCTAATACAATTCAACGACTTTCACAATCACGATTTCCCTAATTTGCCAAATTTCAATTTTTCTTTTCTCTCGTGTCGCATTAAATATATCGTAAATTTTGGGCTGCAACGTTTTTTCAAACCATCTTTCGTTTATATAATTTCTTCGACACGTTTCTCTATCATTAATTTCATTAATTTTTAATAATTCACGGTTCAGCTCAATCGCAATTACTTTCTTAATTTACCAAATTTCAAATGATTCCATTCCTTCTAATGTTAAACTACCAATTAGACTGTCGTATTTCAACAATCCTCCATTATTTTAATTATAGCCATCTATAATTCCTTCAACACGTTTCCTACCATTTACATCTTTTTAATAATCCTATTCACGACTGAATCACAATCTTCCTTAATTTATTCCAAATTCCAAATGACTCCATTCTTTCTCGTATCACGTTAAACTAAACCAATTAGATTGTCGCACTTCACAACAATTCTCCATTATTTATATTACATCACCTCCATTACACCATAAAAGCGACGTATCTATTGTATATAATTCCTCGAACGTAGGATTTTCGTATCGTTGCACAGATTCGCATCGCACATTTTCACATTTTCAGAATATTCGCCGTTTCAACCGTCATCGTTGGCCAACCTCATTCGTCCCAGCGCGCACCCCTCCAACCCCAAGTATTCAACGTCACAACCACGGCCACCCTTAATTTACCAAATTTCAGACGACTCCGCTTTTTTCCCTCTCCTCTTCCCCTTCCCTCCTCTTCCCCTTCCCTCCCCTCCCCTCCCCTCCGTTTTAAACTCGTAAAGTTTAGCTGTTCGGCTTTCATCCACGTTTCGCCTCGCTTTAACGCCCGGGGGTTAATTCCTCCGTGGTTAAAAAAAAAAAAGAAAAAAAAAGAGCGTTGCGTTTCGAGCGGCGGCGGGTACAAAGCGTTATCACTTTTAATTACTCGTTTCCAGCAGGCGACGCCGCGATAACGCCACCCCTTGCCAACCGGACGTCCGCAAAATAACGCTGTCCATTCCGCTTTAAAGCACATCCCCCCCTCCTCTCTCGTGCAACGTGACCGGTCCTTCAACGTTGAAATGGGAAACGACGAGTTCCGGCGGAATAACATCGAAACACCGGATGTTCGTTACAGGTGTCGGTACAAAACGTATTCTGTAATTCGGTTTGCTCTTCGTTTCTCTCTCTCTTTTTTTTTTTTTTTTTTCACTTTGAGCTTGGATTAGAAGGCCTTTGTCCTCGCTTTTTATCGTCGTTTTGTTCGATTCGTCGCAACGTGTGTGTATACGGGTTACAGTTTTCACGATTTTTATTCAAGTTTTTCTAAACTTGGGTGAAAAATTAATTAGATAGTTAAAAGGAAAATTATTTATTTTATTAGCACTTGACGCTGAGAAAAAATAGTGGTTCGCTTTTCATTTTTTCACTTTGACCTCGGATCAGGAGATCTTTGTCCTGGCTTTTTATCGATCGCTCGATTCGTTGTATACGTATATGTAATTGTGATTGTATATGAGTGTAGGGGGAAGTTTCACG